GGTCAGGGAGTCCATTTATCCTCTGACCCACCCCCCTCTTCTTCCCCCTGCAGCTTTTCTGCCCCCGCCACTGGCATCCCCACCCCTTACAGCCCACAGAATTTCCCCTTCCTCCCACTCCCCAAAAATCTCTGCCTCTTTCTTCTCTACGCCCCCCCCCACACACACACTTGGTGTCAAATGCTGCTTAGCTCTGTTCCCTCCCCAGAGCACAGAACATGGAAGTGCAGCCCCTAGCCCCTGATGGCCATGCAGCAGTGTTGGTGGTGCTGATTCTGGCCAGTCAGAGGACAGTGTTTCCATGTGCTCCAAGCTGGGGAGGGAATCCAGCCAGAGCTGAAGCCAAGCTGTGGCTCCAAAGCTTGGCTTCAGTCAAGGGGTGGGGGGGCAGGAGGGATGAACAGTAAGAGGGGAATGGAGGGGGGCAGGGGGCAGAAGGCAGTTGTGGGTCTGACTAGCTCTGACCCACCTGGGAGGGAGCCACCTGCCTCCCCTCCCCTCCAACTTTGTACATGAATGAGGGGCTTTCCCTGCCATGCTGGTTGGAGAAAAAAAAAACACCTTGTCTTAGATTCAAGTAAGTAAATCCACACATTTATTTTTCCAAAGTCAGTTGTGCTTCAACATTACACTCTACTATAAGTGTGTTCCTGTTACTACTGTCATGCAAGTATTTGTTGCATCTCTGTGCTCCTAAATAATGAATTCTAAATTTTAAAAAAAATTAAAACCAATGTTATGTGATGTTACATATCCAGAAAATTAAGTAAAGATCATGATGGTTATACCTGAACAGTAAACCTGCATTTTAAAATGCAAGAGTATAAAACAGGAAATCCAGGTTTTGGCCATATCATTTCCATTAAAAACACTTAAGTAGGATGTGTTGATATTTGCAGAGAAATATCTGTAATGGCTTTGCTTCTTAATGAACTACAGGGATTGCATGCCTTATATGTAATATTGATCTACTGTATTAATACAAAGCTAACAGTACATGCCACTAGGGATCATTGTATAGGTAAACTGCAAGACAAAAATAATAATTTAAACTTTAACAGCATCAGATACTACAAATATACAAATAATGCTCTGTTTTGTGTATTTTTTCTCTTTTAGAAATTCCTTTCTGTAGCAAATTCAAAATCTTTTATGTTTTAGGGGCTAACATAGCAAAATGCTCTCTACAACCAATGCATCTTAGGCAGAGTATAAAAAGCTTTAAAAACTCACTGGTTGTGTTAGTTGTGTGAGACACTTTTTCAAGCCAAAAATAAATAGAAGGTAGAGTTTTGTAAATGTATAACATTTACATGACATTCAGAATGGCAAGGTAACATAATAATATCATGTACTATGATGGACACTTACCTGACATTTTAAACAGATTCACACACACACACACACACACACACACACAGAAGTGGCATGTTAAGGATATTTCCAAATCTCCTATACAATATTATCACACAATGTAGGAAAGCTGCAAATATTGCATGAATCAATTTCTCCATATGGAAAAAAATATAGACTACAGGAGTATGAAGAAAGAGGTAAAGCCTCTCAATTTTCACATCCAATAGACTGTTCCTCCAATGTTAAAGAAATGAGCATTTCCTGATGCAGCAGCATCTTTGCTGTGCTATAAACATCAGCACAAATACTTAACTCCCTCTGTGCTGCCAAATGAAAGTTCAAAGTTCAGTATACTCAGAGAAGTGATGCTATACAAAAATGGTTCTTAATATTGTATTAAATTTGCTCAGTTTGGAACTTAATATCTATTTCCCTCCCAACCACCCCCCCGCCTTTTTCTTTTTTTTATTTTAT